AAGAAACCCCCACACAAAATGCTAAGCTTTAGGATATGCTCAAAGAGCAGAGGAAGCAGTGATGTACGAAGGAGAATAAAGAGCCAATGAGGTGGCAGAGAACTAGGGCAGTTTATATAGCTAAGATACTAACTTGATAAAGTTTTAAGAGAAAAAAAGTTGGGTTGATAGCATCAAATACTGAAGAGAGGCCAAAGAAAAAGAGGTGACTAGGGCTGCTATATTAAACAGCTGGGACTGGAGAAAGCTCTTTTAGTACTATAGGGAAAAAACCAAATTTCAAGAGGGAGATGAAAGAAATACTCAATATATCTGATCTTTTACGAAGTTAATAGCAATGAAAAGAAAAATAGAACATTAGCTTTAGGAAGCAGAATATGTAAATTCAGAGTTATGGGAGAAACTAAGAGGTCTTTTTTATTTAAAAATCATTCACCTATAATTTACTTTTTAAAAATTTTTATTAGTTTTGTTATGTGCCATCCAATTACTTCAGACTTATAATGGCGATCCTATGTACAATTCTGAACCCTGCTCTATCCTGTGCCAACTTGATTGTCTCTGACACACCTACCCCCAACACCCTAGTCACTGAATCAATTCATATCATCCAGGTCTCCTTTCTTGCACTGTCTGTCCACCCTCCCAAGCATGATGTCCCTCTCAAAGGATTGGTCCCTCTTCATAACATGCCCGAAGTATGTCAGATGGAGCTTCAGAATCCTTGCCTCCAAGGAGTAGACTGGTTTCACTTTCTACAGGATGAACCTGTTTGTTCTCCTAGCAGTCCACAGTGTATTTAATTATCTTCTCCAGCACAGCTCAAAGGCATCAGTTCTCTTTCTATCATCCCTAGTCATTGTGCAGCTTTCTGATGCATAGCAAGTAATTGTGAAGACCAGGCACACCTTAGTCTCCAGACTGACACTGTTGCTCTTCAGTACTCTGGAGAGGTCCCTGATAGCAGACTTTCCCAGTGCAATTAGTTTATTTCCTAGCTTCTGGTACCAAGAATGTTGATTGTGGAGCCAAGCAAACTGAAGCTGTTAACAATCTCAATTTCCTCATCATCTATCATGATGCTGCCAATCGGCCCAGTGGTGAGAATTTTGTTTTCTTGATGTTGAGCTTCAATACATATTGAAGGCTGCAATCCTTGACCTGCAGCAAATGCCTCAGGCCCTTCTCAGTTTTAGCAAGCAAGGTTGTGTCATCTGCATAATGCAGGTTGTTGATGAGTCTTCCTCCAATCTTGATGCAACATTCCACATATAGATCAAAAAAGTTATGGAGATAGGACACATCCCTAGCGTACACCTTTCCCAGTTTTGAACCATGCTGTGTTTCCCTCCTGGTCCAGGTGTAGGGTTGTTTTGGGGGGGGGGGGGTTTTTTGCATAAACACAATCAAGTGTTCTGGGATTCCCATTCTTCTCAGAAATAGCCACAATTTGTTGTGATCCACACAGTCAAATGCCTTTCCATAGTCAATGAAACACAGATAAGACATTCCTCTGGTATGCTGCTTTCAGCCAAGATTCATCTAACATTAGCTATAATATCCCTAGTACTATGACCCCTTCTAAACACAGCCCGCACATTTGACAGTTTTCTGATGTGTTGTTCCAGCCATTTTTGGGTAATTTTCAACATAATCTTGCCTGCATGTGATATTAATGACATTGTTTGATAATTTCCACACTCTGTAAAGTCACTTTTGTTTGGAATAAGAACAAACGTGGATCTCTTCAGTCATTTGGCCAGGTGATTGTCTTCCAGATTTCTCAGCACAACTTAATGAGTGCATCCAGATCAGCGTCTGATTGTTGAATTATATCAATTGGTATGCTGTCAATGCCTGGGGCCTTAGTTTTGTGTTGTTTTTTTGGTTCTTTTCCCTATTCCTTCAGTGTTTTAATTTCTTCCTTCATCACCACAGGCTCTTGCTCTTATGTTGTTTAATGAAATTTTTCTGTGTTAGCCAATTACTTTTGGTACAGTGACTCAGTATACTCTTTCCGTCTTCTTTGAATGCTTGCTGGATCACTTAAGGATTAAAACCCGAGGCTTGTATTTGTTCTTCATTTCCTTCAGCTTAGGGAATGCCAAGTGAATTCAGGCCTTTTGATTTTCTGAGTCCAGCCCTTTGCACATTTCATTATAATACTTTGCCTGTGCTGCCTTTTGAAATTTTCTGTTCAGCTCAATTTCTTTTCTCCCATTTGCTTTGGATTCTTGGCGCTTTGCTGCAATATTCAGTCTCTTCTGACATCCATCTTGGTCTTTTCTCCCTCTTTGTAATGATCTTTTGCATTCTTCATGGATGATATTCTTGATATTCTCCCACAGCTCATCTGGTCTTTGCTCGTTAGTGTTCAAGGACTCAAACCTGTTCCTGACTGAGATTGTTTTGAAATTGAGGTGGGATAGACTCGGATTTTGGTTCCTTGGATTTGACTTAAACTTCTTAAGCTTTAGTTTGAACTTGCATATGGGTAGGTGATGATATGATTCACAGTCAGCACCTGGCCTAGTTTTCATCGCTGATACTGAACTTCTCCAGCTATTCTATAGATGTAATTGATCTCATTCCTTTGTAAACCATCAGGTGAAATCCATGTGTATAGTCTGCATTTATGTTTCTTACTAAAGTATTTGCAATAAATAAATCATTGATTGCACAGAATTTTATCCTATCTCCAACCTCACTTCTGTCACCAAGCCCACGTTTTCTGATTACTGATCCTTCTTCCTTGTTCCCAACTTCTGCATTTCAGTCACCCATTATTGCTTCTTTGATTGCATGTTTGACCAATTTGACGGCAAAAGTTGGTAGAAATGTATTTCCTCTTTTTTGTCTGTAGTTGTTGGTACATATATTTGAATGATAGCAGTATTCACTGGACTTCTTTGTCTGTTTATGGGTATTATCCTGTCACTCACAACATTGCATTTCAAGGTGGATGTAGAAATTACTTTAACTATGAAAGTAATCCTATTTTTCCTTGCCCTTTTCTTCCCAGCATAGATCGTATGATCATCTGATTCAGAATGTCCCATGACAATCTATCTCATTTCACCAATACCTATTATGTCAATATTTATGTGTTCCATTTCTTTAACAATGTTTAATTTTCTGACAGTCACAATTACTAGTGTCTGTTTACAATGTTCCTCCTCTTTTGTGTTTCCGTATTTGAGGGCTCAGCCTCCGTTGCCCTATCTGCTAGCCTACTCTAAGTGTGTTCTATTGTACATAGGGTTTTTGAAGGCCTGTTTTGGAAGTGGACAGCCAATTATCCTTCCTACTGTTTTCATTTGAATGTTCAGATTTAGAATAGTATCTGATAGAGAAGCATTTTACAGAAAGGAGCAGATGAAAGACATTTACCAATTAGAAGCAACCAATAGATTTGGAACATGTCTTGATACATCCATCCATCCCCTTGCTCCACCAGCATGCCGTGTTCCACTCCTGCTTACCCCATTCAACACATCCCCCCCCCCCCATCCAGCCCTTGCCCTTGATATGATGGCTTAGGGCTCAGGCCTTCTGTGAGGCCTAAAGCCTCATGCTGCTGCTGGTCTCTTATGCTGCGTCCAGTTTCTCTTCAGTTTAGGTGTCTCTAAGTCCAAATTCCAAGTACTGGTATTAGGGAAGGGTTTTTAATCTCAGGTGGTTCTGAGGAAAATTCCTTTGCATTGAGCTTCTGCTCCAGGACTAACTTCTTGTGATTTAGTACTTCTTCTCTTCCACTTGCAGCATGCTGCTCTCCCAGGAGAGGCTGATGTGTCATCTAGATCTGGTATGTAAGTGTTGTTTTCTTGGCCCAGCAGCCACATGACCAAGGGTCCAAAATCAGCTAAATATGTAGGCCGTTCCAGCCAGAATTAAGTAAAATTTTGTACAACTGTAAAAGTTTAAAAATAGGATTTAAAAGTTGAATCGTCCCATGTGTACAAGTTATGAAGGCTGTTCTTAAGGCAACTTATGGAAGAAAAAGTTTAGACCCAATAAACTGCTTCTATTATCTTAAACAATATATTAAAAGAAAAAGTCTGAACCACTTTTAAGTGGGGAAATATGCATTTTAATTATGCTCCAAGGTATTAGAGAGCTAAAAATTAAGAAATTTTGATTAATATAAAACAGATTTATTGTCAAAATTCAGGCATTAACGCAACCCATGTAAATAAATCCTCACTTCACACAAGGCTCAGATATCCTAATATTCTATCTTAACATCACATATGTACTATAAAATGATAAATACATAAAAATTACCAAGGGAAAATATCACAAAAAATACAACTGTGATAGATTCCTGTAGGAAAGGACCCCACCCCTAGCATTATTTTTTAATTTTTAGAGTTCTATCTTAGGTAATAATAATACTACATATCAGAACCAAAAAGAAAATGTCTGAGGTTACAATGCTCAACAATATACCAGATGTGCTCTAACAGACCATGTCTGACAAGAATCTAAGACAGAAAAGGCCTTCAGTGATGCTTTGAATGAGAAAGAGAAAAAAAATTACTCTTTGCCAACTTTTAGAACAGTTTCATCAAACAATTTATAGCACTGGCAAAGACTTGTAAAAGGGGCGAAAGGAGCTCCATCTTAGCTTTATAGAAAGGATCATCACACTCACTCAACTCTAAAAAGCACTCTTCACTCCTTTACTTGGACTCTTTGTCTTAAATTCTTATTTCCCCTTCCCACCTAATTTCTTTGTAAGGCTTTACCAAGAGAACATTTTCTGTTTTCTAACCAAACTAAACTAAACCAAACCAAACCAAACTAAAGGCATTAAGAAAAACGACAGAATCTACATAGTCTTGTCAGTTTTAAAGACACATATATTGGTTTGACAGGAATCATATGATTCAGACATATCCATGCCTCTTCTACACACACACACCCCCTTCTTTCCTTAAGTATACTAACTCCATCGTCAATATACTTTGAGGAGAATGATATTTGTACAAGATTAATTAAAAGTCACTTAAACATTTTTCTTCAAGGTGAGGCCTTTTTTTTTGAAATGAGCATTAGAGAAAGGAGGAAAAGTTCACTCAAAGAGGTCCTCAAACATGCGCTGTCCCATTGCTATGTATGCCTCCTTCTCCTCTGGTGTCATCTGGGCCACCAGCTCTGGTCGCTGGCTAACTTCGCTATAAGAGAACGGACGGCCAGCCACCATGACAACAGGGTCATCTGTCACTTCTTCAAACTCATCATCGTCCTCATCGTCTTCCCGATGGTGCACAGCCCCAGGTGCCGGACGGGGCGGAGAGTCATCATCTGACTCACTGGTTTCACTCTCCGAGTCACTTCCATTATTCGTGGTGACAGGAGCAGCCGCTCCCACAGAACCAGCCGTGGTAGAGGGTGTCTTCTTCTCATGAATGAGGAGGGCTCGCATGACCTCCTCATTGTCATCCGGACCTGAACGGCCATCTTCACGGTCCTGAAATGAGTCTATATCCATGGCACCTGGGGAAGGCAAATCAAGAAGGTTAATATACTCAATTATTCCTAAGACTGTGCGAAAAAGAACAGACCTGTTTATTGAACTGCTGTCCTTAAGGTTTTCAAAATGTTTCTCCCACATTGGGGTTTAAGTAGCATAACGGCTAGGTACATAGATTTTTAAGTTAAGACAGCCTTTAAATCTAGATTCTTCCATTTGCAAGCTGTACCGCCTAGGTAAATGATTTTATCTCTATATGGCAATACCTCTTTTCTGTAAAATGGAATGATAACAACAGGAGCTCTGGTAGCCTGGCACTGCCAACCCAAAGGCATGAGTTTGATTCCACCAGCTGCTTTGAAGGAGAAAGATGGCCAATCATCTCCTCCCATGCAATTTATCATCTCTGAAAACCTGCTAGAGGGTCAGTTATGAGTCAGTTCTAACTTGACAGCACATAACAATAATGGAAACAACATACTGAATAATGTCTATAAAGGATCTAGTAGCTGGCAAATAAGAAACCAAAATACAACTTCCCATCTTGTGCAGAGCAGAAGTTAAAAGCCTTATAACAAATTTTAAATTCCTCTCTTCCCTGCCACTTCCTCTTCTCCTTCCTTTTTTGTTCGTTCTGCTCCAGCCAATGTTGCCCTGTGGGACTTTTGTATACATCAAACAACACTGCTACTTCAAGACTTTTGTATTGTCTACTCCCTCTGCCTGGAATATTTTCCCTTTAGTCATCCATGTGGCTAACTTCCTTCTATCTTCCATGTTTTTGCTCAAATGTCACTCTTTTTAATTGATCCTCAATCTACATTCCCAATGTCCATAGTTTACTCCCCCCCACCCCCAACACTTATTATATAACACATTATGTACCATCGATTTAGAACCAACTCATAGCTGAACGTACATGGGAATTTCAGAGGCTATCAGTCACATGAGAGGAGAATGCCCATCTTTCTCCTGCAGAGAAGCAGGTGCATTAGAACTGAGTGCCTTTGGGTTAGCAGTGCAGCTCCTTACCACTAGGCCAAGAGAGTACCCTACTATCTAAATTGCAATTGACATATTCCCTTTGACTTTGCTTTCCCCTTTCCCAACAAGTAGACTCTATGGTGACAGATTTGTCTTTTTTTTAATTCACGGATACATCTCATGTACCTAGAATAGTGCCTGTCAGTTTTGGGGCACTAAATAAATTATTTGCTGAATGGGTGAATAAACAGTAGTTTTTATTTTTCTGAAGCAAATTAGGTACTTCAAGCTCTTATTAAAAACATATAGAATGATTAAGAATGTCATTAGGAACTCAACTCTGTACTCAAATCCTGACTCTAACATCTATGTGGCTTTGTCCAAATTATTTCATTTCTCTCTGCTTTAATTTTCTCCAGTGCAAAAAGGAGGGAAAAATAATGGTGTCTCCCTGAGCGAGGGGAGTAAGTGGAGTATCTGTGAGGTACTTAGACACCACCATCAAGAGAGGGCTTGGAATATCTGATCCTGCCCACAGAGTGAAAGCACCTTCTCATTTGCACACTGGAATGGATTAGCTGTAACCCTGGACATTTAGAAAGTGCAGAACTCCTGAGATAAGGCAACTAAGTAGGGAAAAGCAGAATGAAATGGAACCGATAAAGGCTCTAGGGCAGAGAAAACAGCCTTTTAATAACAGATGTCAAGGTGACAATTAAATTTAATATTACCTACTTCAAAACAGTGCCATAAACACCTGAGAGCCAGTGTAGTTAAAAACAAAAACCATAATGTATTCAAGTCTAAAAGGCAACTGATGCTTCTAAGAGAATGTTTTAAATAATATTACCAAGATAGTATTTTTCATGATGTTTACAGTGAATATAAAATTAGGAGAAAGCAAATCAGTTTTATAAATGAAATGAAGTCAAACCTAACAGATTTCTGAAAAGGTTTCCAAAAGTCTGGGTGGGGGTGGAGGGAAAGACAGACTTCAGTGTTTGGGGATTTTTTTTCAGACTTTGCTGTACATACAAAAAATAAAAAAGGAGTAGTTGGGGTGAAGGAGCACAACTCTGGATGGATAAGTAGAAACAATAATGCTAGAAACAGTTCAACAGTGGGCTTGGGCTTTTAAACTTAAAAACGTGATCAAACTATCATATAAAGGCCAAGAAAACAGTCCTAAAAATCCCTCACATGTTTCTAAAGTTGTCTATGTGCTTCCAGAACCAAAGCAGCAAACGTCAGTTAAGAACCTCAATGAAGAGTGAAGCCATGCCTGGAGAATAGCGTGTGTTATTCTCGCCACTGGCTGATATCAAGTATTTCACAATTAGAGATGGGCCAGAAAAAGACAAAGGGGGGAAACCCCCCGCATGTCAAGGAAATTTAGGTAGAGGGCAAAAAGTACAATCAAAATGAGTTAGACAATTCATTATAGCAGTGGAAACATAACTGAAGTCTATAAAAATCTTACAGATATTTTGAGCTTGAGGACTAAAGTTTAGGACAAATATGACTCACTTCACATGTTCACTGGACAGAAGTTTTTCTATTATTATGAACTTTTTGGGTTTTTTTATCCTTTTTCTGTTTTGAAAGAAAAATTTCTTAAATAATAAGCCTTTGAAAACCCTACGAACACTAGAGGAATGATTTTGGGAAGGGTGGAAGGTCAGCAAAGGAGAGGAAGACCCTCAACCAGCTGGACTGACACAGTGACTGCTGAAATGGGCTCTTGTGTGTCAGAATGTGTGAGGAAGGCACAGGACAGAACAGGGTTCAGAGTTCTTTGGGTTGCTATGAGTTGTACTCAACTCAATGGCACCAACAACTTAGAGTGAAAATTTACGAAGCAAATTGGTTTGCCATCTAATCATTTATACATATTGTTTTACAACATTAATGACAATACCCACAATGTAACTTCACTCGTTCTGCTTTACCTCTGTGATTCTTGGTTCCATCTACTCCTTCCTGCCTTCTGAGCAAGTGCTGCCCTTTTGATCTTGTATTGTTGACTGTTCTAACGGATGAGTTTTGATTTTGTTGCTGTTGTTAGGTGTTACGAGTTGAGGAGGACTCATTGCAACCCTATGAACAAAAGATCTGAATCCTATTCTGTGCCATCCTCACACTTCTTGACAGACAAGAGCTCACTGCGACAGTCACTGTGCCAATCCACCTGGTGGAGGGTCTTCTCCTTTGCTGACCCTCCATCCTTTCCAGCATCGTGTCCCTCTCCAAGAAATAGCCCCTCCTAGCAACATGCCCAAACTACATGAGGTGAAGCCTCATCATTCTTGCCTCCTAAGAGCACTCGGTGTAACCTTTCCAAGACTTATCTATTTGTTCTCTTGGCTGTCCATGGGATGTTCGGTGCCCTAACACCACAGCTGTCAATTTTTTTTTTGTCATCCTTATTCACTGTGCATAGCACATGTTTGGAAAGACTATGGCCTGAATCATATGCAACTTAGTCCTCAAACTGACATGATTACTCCTCAATAATTTGGAGATGTCCCTAACTATAGATTTTTCCAGAGCAATACATCTCCTTATTTTCTGACTGCTGTTACCAAGGGTGTTAACTGTAGATCCAAGCAAGATGAAGCTGTTGACAGTTTTAATTTCCTCTCCATCCATCATGATATTGCCTATCAGTCCAGTGGTAAGAATCTTTTTCTTCGTGACACTGAAATGCCAAGGGGTGAGAAACTCCTTCATATTCCTATTCACTCTATAGGCCTGTCTTTGTTTGGCTGAAGAAGCATTGATGCTTTTGAGCTGTGAGGTTGGAGAAGAGTACTGAAAATCCCATGAAATGCCAAAACAACAAACAGGTGTGTCTTGGAAAAAGTGCAGCCACAGTGCTCCTTGGAGGCAAAGATGGAACCTTGTCTCACATTCTTTGGGCACGCTTCTAGGAGAGGTTATTCCTTAGAGAGGGATGTAATGCTTAGAAAGGCAGAGGGTCAGCAAAGAAGATCCTCAAGCGGGTGGACTGACATAGTGACTGCCGCACTGAGCTCTATCTAGTGTGTCAGGATGGTGCAGGATAGGACAGGGTTCAGATCTATTATTCATAGGGTTGTTATGAGTCGTATTGGACTCAAAGACACCTAACAACAATAGCATTGTTAGGCTGAAAGCTGAGCCACAGGTGAGTTAAGTTGTACTTTAGAAGGGTACCCTTCTCTTGGTCTTAAGAGGTTCCCCCTGATTCCATCAGACCAGTGTATCTGGGCATTTTTTGGGTTTGAGTTTTGTTCCATATGTGTTTGTTCACTCTATCCAAGACCTTCTAGTGTGATTATTTTTAGAGTGGTAAACAGTGTTAGTCAGGCACTGTTAGTTCTTCTGGGCTCGGAGTTGTGGAGGCTAAGTTGTGAAAAAAAGTCCTTTGGTCCTTTGGATTGTTTCTAGGTATCTTTGATTGTCTTCCCCTTTTTTCCAAACAAGGAGAGACCAATCGTTGCATTTTAGATGGCTGTTTGTGAGCTGTTAAGGCCGTAGATGCTAGTCACCAAAGTAGGATATAGAACATTGCCTCTGTGACTTTGCTAAGCCAATTGGCCTTGGTGCCTCCTGAAACCCTAGGAGCAGCTATCATGAATCATAATGAAGGTAAGTCTAAAGGTGACAGCATACTATTTTTGCATAAATGAATATTCATAAAGCATAATTAGGCAGGCTAGATTACTTATTTAAGACCCTTAGGATTCATATTCTCCAATTTAGAAATGACAGATATTGAATGTTTACATTTATGAGCTTAACTGATTATAATATTAATTAAAAGGGCTTCTAAACAATTCAATTTTATTTCTTCATTCAAAGAAAAGAAAGTTTGGCTGCTTTAAGAACAGGTAAGAAGTTGGGACAAACTCATTAAAACACGGTAACTACGTATAATCTAGAACTTGAATCAAAATATCTAGACATCATTAAATAAATACACCTACACAGTCAGAAACACAAACTTTTTGTTGTTGAATTGCTCCTAACTCATAGTGACCCTGCTGTTGTGTGCCAGTTGGAACTGACACAAAGCTGACTCTCTGGTGGATTATTAGAGGCAGTAAATCACGTGGGAGGGACTGTCCATCCTCCTGTGGGACAGCTGGTGGATTCGAACTGTGCACATTGTTCTGTAGGGTTCTCAAGGCTGTAATGCACAAGGTCCTAGTGCTGTCGTAACAAGCAGTTTTCAATTACTAATGACACTTCATTATTAAAGAAGTACTAATTCAGCTGACCCCTTAGTAACAATACGTAACCTGTAACTAGGACCCAAAGATTCTTAAACTAATGAAATGTAACCAGAAGTACAGAGACCCATCTTCTCCTCTGCCTTCCAGTTTGAATCATCTTTGCTTAATCTTAGCCTCCTATTTGAGCCTCCTTCAAAACCATCAACATTCACATTAAATCAAAGGAATAAAATCTTGCCATTTTTAAATTTCTTAAGAGCACTATACAATTTTTAACTCTGGCTCATAGAGAGTTCTCAAAGATTTTAGAGCAAAATTTTGCTGATCTTCTAACAGAAAATGACACCTCCATAATCACTTTGAGAAGCTTTTGGTGGCATGGTGGTTAAAATGTCTGGGGGCTAACTTCAAGATAGTGACTCATCAGTCACTCCTCAAAAGAAAGACAGGGCAGTCTGCTGTCTGCTTCCATCAACATTTACAGCCTCTGAAACCATGTGGTGGGCAGCTCACTCTGTCCTTTGTCACAGTAAGTCACAATCAACTTGATGGCAGCAGGCTTGGGTTGAGTTTTTTTAAATCATTATGGATTTTTTTAATATATTTTAAGATGCAGAAACTCCTTGGTATTTCTGTTAGTTAACATGAAAGTTTCCATTCTTATCACTTGCATTTTGACAGCTGACAGCACTCACCTTCTACACAATGCACTTGTTCTGGCTCTTGCTTACAGCATGCTGTTATCATGGTCAGAAATAGGCCTATCCACAAAGGTTGTAACAAATACAGTTCAGTTACAAAGGAAAAAAAAAAGAAGAAGAAATAGGCCTATATGTTGCTTATAGAGAAAAATTGGCTTCTGCTAGACAGGCCAAGCAAAGAGGCAGCATTAGATTGCCAACGAGGACTAGCAAAGAGAGTAAACGTAAATAAAATTGAGACTAATGGGAGTTGGGGAGGTAGACTTTGATATCTTAATAGTTTAAAATTTTCATTAGTGGGAGCCAAGAGAACACAAGACCTTTGTTGGACTTTATTAAATGTGCTATATTCAATGTAGGGAATTCTGGTATGAAGCTACATGGGCAACCCAAAGGTATGTGGTTCAAATCCCCCAACTTCTCTATGGGAGAAAGATGGGCAATCTCCTCCCCTGTGATTAACTGCCTCTAAAAGCCCCTGCTGGGTAAGCTATGCATCTGTTCTGACACTGTGCTACACAACAACCATAACAATGCATAGTAATATTCCAATGCAGGGAAATGAATGAATGAATGAATGAATAATTAAAAAATGTATGTCAGAACCGTATTTTAAGATTAAACGAGAAATTAATATGGCTATTATGAACATAATAGTACTTTTCCAAGAAACTTAACATACAGAGACAGAAATGTCCCAAATCTAGTTAGTGATTTGAGTCAAAATGTTTTAATGCTTATTATTTTTCCTGTTAAAATGCAACTGCTTTATAAAGATGCAATGAATTATCAGTAAAACTATAGGCAGTTCCTAGGTTACAAACAAATCAATTCAAACCAAGTGCATCTTTAAGAATTTGTAGGTGAGATCTCTTGGACGGGATTTTTTTTCTTTTTTTATTTCTTTTAATTGAGAGAGGGCCGAGTACTTGAGGTGAAGTGCTGGGACTAAGAAGGGAAGGTGCGCTCGGCTGTAAGCAGAGCAAAACTTAATCCAAGATCATGGCAAGACATCTGAAATTCATTGCTAGGACTGTGATAATATAGGATGGCAACGTGGCAGGTGCATACAGGAGTCTGAACAGAATCCTCAGCATGGATGCGTTCACTGAAGACATTAAGCAAAGGCGGTACTATAAGAAGTCATGCCGCAAGCGACAGTGGGAAAGCGATGAGACCTGCCGAAGGATCTACAACATGGAAACAACCAGAAAAATCAACTTCCTGATGCGAAAGAATCAGGCAGATCCAAGGCAGGGCTGCTAAGGCAGTTTGTGTCTCCACTTATTTTCTTTCTTGCATCCATATTCTATTACTATTCCCAACAATAAACTCAATCACATGTATGCAAATACACAGATAATCCAATGAGTCATCAATGGACACTGTGTTTTATTAAAGTGAAAGAGAAATTGAGCCGAAAAGTACTCTAAGGGCAATGAGGAAATATTCTAGCATGTAGTAGAAGGTATCTACTGTTTCTTACCTGTTATTGTAAAACTCAAAGCAAGATGTTATTAGTGAAGCATCTGTTATACTTTATAGAATCCCCCTCCTCCCAAACCATTAGGTAAAGGAAAAAAGAATTTGTAGGTGAATTCAAACTGGTGTGTATGTTCCTACTTAAGTGTCATTCTAGTGCAAGAAAAGAAAGGTTCCAAGTCATTCCAACGATTTAAAAGTTGCAAGTGAAGGTAATTTTGGTAAGGAACTACTGCAAATAGATGTTGGTTCAATCATTTTAAAGTGAGGGCAAATGTCTGTAATACTGAAATACCAGTAGTTGTTCCTAGTGTATGTTCTATTCCTAACCTGGGGACTCTGAATTTCAGAAACACACAGGCACTTTCTGTTTTAGTCCAGTCCATTTTCTGCTGAAATCAAGGCCTTCCCGTTTTAATGACTTCTAGTCTTACCTTCTTTCATATCTTCAGAACTGTATGCCCCTTGGACAGTGCTCTCTCTCAACCAAATGGGTCTCTCTTTGGCAGATTTCCCTTCCAGGGAGGTTCGATGAAGATCTTCTTGGTCATCCATGTTGATGACAACATTCTGGGTGTATAAGTCCTCATAGGAGGGACCTTTGGTGGACCATGCTTCCCGGTGGTGCCCACTGGCCAGGCCAGCAGCTCCAGCAGTAGCTGCTGCACGGTCCTTGCTATACAACAAAGACAGAAGAGAACAGGAAGAAGAAAAATTAAAGACATGGTATTGGAAAAGGAGTGAAGTTGGAGGAGTGTTTGTTGAAGTAAATAAAAGTACACATACTTAAACAATTTTTAAAAACACCTCTTATACCTCAGGGAAAAGGCTGGTCTATATAAATGACTGAGATTTTATAGATTAAGATGTTTCAATAACTCCATTTATATAGGGTGGGGGGTGGGGGGCAATGAGAACAGTAACATCTGCTTAAAGATACTCCAAAAAACAATAAATTCATTGTCGTCAAGTCAGAACCAATTAATAGCTGACCCTCCATTGGGTTTCTGAGACTGTAAACTGCAAGGGAGGAGACTGGCATTTGACTTGGTAGTGCAACTTCATATAACACCTTTTCTCATTATTTTGCTTTAAAAACAGAAAAATTTAAAGCAAGTGTGTGTATGTGTGTGAGTGCGCGCGCACCCACTTTGTATTTGAAATAGGACTTTTTAGATGAGATTTATTGCATTGTAGCTCATATAAAATACAATTACCCTATTTGAAATGTGTACATCAATGGCTTTTAGTCTATTCATTGAGCTGTGCAACCTTCACCACAGTCAAATTTCAGAACAATTTCATCACCTCCAAAAGAAACCATGCCATCCATAACCAAACTTCAGGGTCTCCCCATTTCCCTTAGCCCTAATAACCAGCAACCAACTTTTCAATACATAGTTTGCCTATTCTTTTTCTATTTGTTCCCTATTTGTATCTGCTTGATTGTTTGACAGCCTTTGACTCCATCTGATCCACTGTACATCTGCACTCATGTCATATCTGTTCTGCCTACTGATGTTTTCTGCTTCTGTGCCAGACTCTTCCTCCCCCTCTGTTGAGCAGCTATGCGTAATCCCATAACCTATCTTCATTCACATTTCTTGAGCTGTCCCCTCACCATGCTTACTCTGTCCTTCCAGGGTCCACTGACTCCTACAGCCCCATGTGTCTCCTTTATTTCTCTTGCATTTTTCTCTCAAATCTTTTCCATAGACAAAGCCTAGATTCACACCACTTTGTGGAACCTTATCCCACTTTGAACTTCATCAGTATATCTTTATTCATGTTTATGTTCTATACCACTGTGCTCTCATAAGCTGCTCACTGTTTTGCTCTTTGGCCCTGTATCACCTCCACTTATATCAATCTCTCCATTGCTTCCTGCGCCTACTTTTTAACAGCTGCTTGGATGTTCTGTCTCATTGCTTACTGGAGATTTTTCTGTGTACCCGATCAGATCATTACATTTCTCCTTTTTTTTTCCACCCTTTGCAGATATTCTTGGTCTTATCTACACCCCTCCTGCCCTGCCTCTCTGGGTATCTACAGGCTCATTCTCACTTTCACTATCACAAGACAAGCTTTCCCCAGTTGTACAATCTATGCTAATTCAGTCATTTAATCCAAGGTTGCCAGTTATTCTCTCTGCATTCTTTAACTGGGCAAACTGCACCAGGTACCAATTTGTACTTCACTAAACTACTCTCTCCCAAAGACTTATCCTGGCCCCTATTCCGTTTGTTCTATATCTCTAATTTTTTCCCTCCTCCACAACTATGTCATTGCTCCCACTCTGTACTAGTTATTTGCTCTCTCACTCTAAGTCTAGACCTATGAGGGAACTCACTATCTCTCTGAAAACAACCTATTTGTCTTACTGCATTTTAAAATCTTAAGCTACAATCGCAAACACTTGGTCTTGGTCTCTCCATTCTATTTCTTTCTGCATTCACCTGATGTTATTTTTTTACACTACTTATTCTGTTTGTCTCCATTTAATTGTCTGTCCCTATCACTGCAATCTGTCTCATTTTGTCCTCTAAAAGGCTGTGTCACACTGCCTTCACTGTTGTTCTTCAGTACAATCGAGTCAGAACCAACCCCAAGCTGACCCCCAGCGGGTTTTCTGAGGCTGTTAATCGCATGGGAGGAGACTGCTCATCCTTCTCCCATGGAGCAGCTGGTAGACTCGAACCACATGTCTTCGGGATTGCAGTGCAGTTTCTTATCAATGAGGCATCAGAGTTCCCCACCTTCACTGTAATCAGCCTGTTTTGTTTTGGATTTAAGTCTCCCTCACTTTTTTTTTTCCTTCTCTTTTGGCCTGAATTGTGCTTATGTGTTTGCTATGTCTGAGTTTTTCCTCTCATCAATTTGGGTTTTTAAAATCTTCCAGAGGTCTCATAAGCTTTTTGTATCACCCTGAGCCTGCTCTATAAACCTGTCTACCCCTCAGTGTAGCTCCCTGAGCTAACCATATGCCTGTCTGTCTCTTTCCACCCACTCAACATTTCTTCAACTCTGATGTGGCCAACTCAATTCCTGGCTTCATCTGTCTCTCCATCTAGACTCTGAAATGTTTCATTCACTCTTTCTGAGGCTACTCTAGTTTTCATTTATATTCTAGAATTAACACAAAATATTACCTTCTGAGAGTTGTCAAGTATTCACTATTTGAGTAGAAAAGAAAGACTAGAGAAAAAGAACAAGAATATGAAAATAAATGTTAGCAAGAGATAACAGTTGAAAAGGCTTCTGTTTTTAGTACTCTCTTCAGAAACTCAAGATTAGTTTTACTCCACTTTGAGGCAGGAGAAATCGGACTGCAAATCAAATTTTAAAATTTCATAGATTTTTTTAAAATGTTATTTTTAACCATGGACACTAGCTATGCAGATTTAATTTCTACCTTCACCACAGATATAGACAAACCTAAATGACCGTTAATATGGCATTAGAAGAAATCTATATGAGACAGGCTTAGGTCAATGCTGTTCGTATATGTAAATTTTCTTCTATGGAGATAATGTAGGCATTTCGCTTGAGGATAACAAAAGTGGTAATTCTGGCTTGAATCTTTTCACATTATTTAAGTCTTTTTGAACAGTTATGTCTTAAAAGGAGTAATTCTTACTCAGGAGTAGCAAATGTGTCTAATTTTAAAAGCAAATTTGTCCATTATCTAACTTAAAACCAAACCCACTACCTTTGCTTGAGACACTCCCATCAGATTCTGGAAATGTAAATCTTTATGGGAGAAGACTGCCTTATCTTCCTTCTATGGAGTGGCGGGTGGGTTTTAACTGCCAATTATTTGGTTAGCAGTCCTACAGGTATGTCACCTGCCCAAAATCCAAACCCAATGCCCTAGAATCAATTCTAATTCAAAGCGATCTTTCATCTGGTTTCTGAAACTGTTAAGTCTTTTTGGGAGGAAACTGCCCATCTTTTTCTCTTGGAGCAACTGGTGAATTCATACAGCTGGTCTTTGGGTTAGCAGTCTAACATGTCATATATTATTGTTCCCAGAGGTCCTTAAATAATCTTAAGATAAATGTTAAATAAGAAATGAAGGAAGAGCAGAGGCAAAGAATTTCATTCCATCAGTATGATGTTGATTACCTTTGAGTCAAGCATGACCTATAGTGACCCTATGAACAGAAGGTCTGAAGCCCCTCTACAACTATCGACAATTATCAAAGTTAACAGATTTTCCGAAAGCGTGTTATTTAGGAAGTGGATGCCGTTCCTGCTTCCAGCCTAGGTGAGCCTTACTGTTAATGATATTATGAAAAACTGGAACCATTCCCAAACTCTCAGGTTTAAGTCAAATGACAGTTCTATTAAAGGAAGTTTAATGAAGACACACTAGATTTTGATTATATATCTATAACTAAAATAATCTGATACTTATTTTTATAATATTAATGAGTTACTATAATCTCTGCATTCTGATATTACTCTTGATGCTTCCTTTCTTATACCTGGGGTGCAATGGCTGTAATGCAAATTCTAGAGTTGGTAACAATTCCTATTTTGTTCAGAAAGTACAAATCATCACAGCTTCTAAGATATTATAGCCAGGCAATAGAGCTTGACCAATGTTCTGTGAAACAATCATGGCAGTGTAACATCTGCTTACTTATTTCCAATGGCCTATTCTCTAGTCAGTGGAAACAGCCCTAATTTTTCTGGCTAGTAAGTAGCTCCAGGTACTTCATTCTGTCTCTATTTCTTGACTATTTCTCCCTTTCTTCCTTAGTCACTAGACTGTTGAGAATCCTCTTTCCTGATCAGTTTATTCCTTCTGTCTCCTCCTTTCTAATCTCTGGGATGACCATCATTTCTGATAAGAAATGGACACTTTGTATGATACAGAGGTATCTGTTTGTTGGGCCTGTGATGACACTGTACCAGTAAGATTTCTCTTAGCTGTGGAATAAAGAGATATTAGAATAAAGAGCTTGAAATGGGAAGAGGATTATGATAGGTCAATAGGGACAGGTAGTTAACATCAGAAGCAGATGTCACTGATAGTGATGAATGAATGCTACTGTAGTAGAAAAGCATATTAATAAACAAGAGAAATCCCACAATTAGAAGTACAAGCATAATTCAAAGACAATACTACATTGTGTAGAGAGTCATATTTCTACATGAAATGATCAAATCACAAACAAAATCAAAAGCCATCAAGGTAATTCTTCCTCATGAACCTCAGAATATCTTTCAATTTTTGTGAAATCAATTTCCTCCACTGGATTTTATAAGAGCTACAGTATAATTTAAGTGGACAGAAAGATTAATATATGTTATTGTTGCTTAATTATAATATATAGCTAAAATAGCCAGTATGAAATAACCAGTAACAAAATCTTAAGACTTTACACTGACATGTCTGATACTGTATGTCCACTGTGGCTACTCCCCTTCTGTGCTTACTGATTTATTTGAAAACTGATCACTCTAGAACATTCTCCAACTCTAAGAGATGAATCTTAATTAAACATCAATCATGTGATCTCATTTTCTTTGCCAAAAGGCTGCTTTAGAAATAAGCACATAAAACAATTCTTGTGAGATATTTAAAGAATGAGATGATGAAGGAAGACCTCTCTTAAATAAAACAGGACACATGGATGATCATTTTATCTGCACTGGGGCACTCAATGTCTAAAACACCATGGCCATCTTTCACTAACACTTTTATGGTCCCAGGAGGACATGCTCAGTAGAGAATAAAGATGTAACAAACCTAGATTCCAGCTAGACTGTAACTGAGTTGTGAAATGAACTAATTATGAACCCTAACAATTCTAGTCATACAAAGCAAAATTTCTTATTGTTTAATCTTCCCCTCGTTGATTTTTTCCCATTATGTACAGTATATAAAGTCCAAAACTTTTACAGATATAAAATTTGCTGTTCAACTGGAAAGTGTTTAACCACCCTAAACAAACTCAATGTGCTCAGGACTGCCCAGTACTGCCTATTCTATAACATTAATACAAAAGGGAAGAGAACTGACGAGTGCTATTAAAATTATAGAAGTGCAACCTCTAGGCTCCCAGGGAGGGACTAAGTGGCATAAACTCTAAACTCTTAGCTTCCCCCTGGGGAGGAGAGACAAAAAATAGTAGCATAGGAAAGTACACAATGACTCCAATTCTCATTTCTTTTTTAAAAAAGGAAATCAACCACTTCTTAAGGTGCAGGAAAACTAGGACTCCCTCTGCAATTCAAAATTAGTGTACTGTGATATAGTGATAAAATCAGAGAGCCATTATGGAAACAAGAATTCATGGAAATATTGTGTCATCCCTGAAACTATAAATAGAACATGAACTAAAGAATCTCTAATTTAAAAAAAAATCAGAGAGTCAAAGTTAGGAGTGTTAACCCACTACTAACAACATATTTCAATTTTACGAATCTGTATTTTGAACTAAGAAAGGCAACTGAGAAATGAGATCCCAGTCCACATCTGCATGGTTAAAACACTTCAGAAATGAACTGTTAAAATATTTCAGAAACAAGCAAAAAAAAAAAAAATCTACAAACGCAAAAGCTCTATTCCTTCAAGAGCGTCAGCTTTCAAAAGTTGGCTGGAAAATTAAAAAATCCCCAAGAGATACAACCAATTTAGAATCAGCTAACAATTGGCTGAGATGCAGCAGGCCCAAGCAAAGTACTTGAAGTCAAACCCGAGTATTTAAAGATTTTTGCCTAAGGCCTTTACTGTTCTGCACTGGATACAAAGGAATTTAATCACAGGCACAAGTTAGCAAGATAAGTAGGTAAAGCTTAGAACCTATGTAACATTATTTTAGAGGCTTTAGTTTCCTGATAATTTACTAGCTGCTCTCCAAATATAGGTAATTAAAACAAACAAACAACACAAACTCATTGCATAGAGTCTTTTCTGACTCATAGCAAACCTCCACCTATTTCTGAGGCTGTAAATAAAAATGGGAGGAGACTGTTCATCTTTCTCCTATACAGTAGCTGGTGAATTCCAATGGCGGAGATGCAGCCCTTGGTTAGCTGTGCACCACCAGCGGAACTTAAAAGTGCTCTTACAGGAAGACTGCAGAGCCTATACTCACCTCTGCTTCAGGGCCGGGATTTCTGTGGGTTCTGGTTCAAGTATTTCATAAGCCAAGTTCACATCCTCTGTCTCTCGAAGTAGTGCATAAATAGGTTCAATTTGTTCATTAAATCTTGCCAAAAGTGTGCGTGCATCTTTTTTGGGCATTGCTGACTCATCCTCTTCTACTTCTGTTTGACAAAAAGTACAGCGGAAAGTTCCTGCAAATAAAACAAGTCTCCAGTCAGGGACATGAAATTTAGACAAGTCTGTAGCCAACAATCTACATGACCACCATCCAAAATTTGTTATAAAAACTTTCAAGTATAGAGAAAAAGGCAAAGGAATTTGAGTGAATACTCACATATCCACCTGAATTCTACAACTAACATTTTACTGCATTTATCACATATTTATATTACACCTATCCATCTATGGCTTATTGATGCATTTCAAAGTAACTGCAGTATTACGGTTTGTAATAACATCACTAAGAAATTTGTATACATTAAGGTAAAATCAATTATTTGCCTCTGATGACCCAAACCTCTGGGTACCCTTTCCCACAGACTTTCTTATAGTATGTTACACATTGGGATCTACATGATAGAAAAAAAACCAAAAAACAAATTATACTTGAAACAGATGATACTGTGCACTGTCACAAGACTTTTTTAAACTTAGTAACTATTTCTATCTAGATAAATTTAACTATCCAGGTTCAAAGATGGAAGTTCAAGAAATTACTTTGCTAACTTGGATATACTTCATATCTGACTGGTTAATGTTGCTGCGATGTGGCCACTGAGTCACCTGCCAACACATAGCGACCCTATGTACAACAGCCCTAACCCCCTCTGACACACTACCCTCATTACCCCTGTCACTGAATCAATCCACCTCATCGAGGGTCTTCTTCACTTGATTCCTTTGAAATGTATCAGCTTTTCCACATGTTTTGGAGCTCCTAAAAGGCAAGTAGTTGAACTGCCAAGCCAAATGCAGGTATGTGGTTTGAGGGGGAAAGATGGTAACCTCCTCCCATGCCATTTACAGTCTCCAACAATCTGCTGGAGGGTCAGCTATGAGACCATTCTGACTTGACAGCAGTGAGTTAAGAACTGTCATTTTATCAGTCCATCATTACATTGTTGTTGTTATGTGACGTCCAGTCGTTTGCGACTCATAATGACCCTATGTACAACAGCCCTAAACTGTGCTCTATCCTGTGCCAATCACATGGCCTCTGACACACCCATCCCGATTACCCCAGTCACTCAATCAATCCACCTCATAGAGGGTCTTCCCCTCCTGCGCTGTCCCTCCACCCTCCCAAGCATGATGTCCCTCTTACAACATGTCCAAAGTATGTCAGACGAAGCCCCAGAATCCTTGCCTCCAAAGAGTAGCCTGGTTTAACCCTCTCCAGAATGAATCTGTTTGTTTTCTTGGCAGTCCATGGTACCGTCAATACTCTTCTCCAGCACCACAGATCAAAGGCATCAATTCTCCTTCTATCTTCCCTAGTCATTGTCCAACTCTCTGATGCATAACAAGTGATTGCAAAAACCATGGCCTGTATCAGGCGCACCTTAGCCTCCAGAGAGACCCCGTTGCTCTTGAGTACTTTAGAGAGATCCCTAACAGCAGACCTTCCCATCACAATATGTTTTTTTATTTCCTGGCTGCTGGTGCCAAGAGTGTTGACCGTGGAGCCAAGCAAACTGTAGCTGTGAACCATCTCAATCTCTTCGTCATCCATCCTGATGCTACCAATTGGTCCAGTGGTGAGAATCTTTGTCTTCTTGACATTGAGCCTCAGTCCATACTGAAGGCTGCAGTCCTTGACCCTCTGCAGCAAGTGCATGAGGTCCTCCTCAGTTTCGACAAGCAGGGTTGTGTCATCTGCATAACGCAGATGGTTAATAGATCTTCCACCAACCCTGACGCCACACTTCCCCTCATAGAGCCTGGCCTCTCAGATAATCTGCTCTGCATACAGGTTGAAAAGGTATGGAGATAGGACACATCCCTGGCGTACACCCTTCCCAATTTTGAACCATGCGGTGTTACCTTGCTCTGTTCTAATGACTGCCTCTTGGTCCAAGTATAGGTTTCACATTAGCATGATTAAATGTTCTGGGATTCCCACTCTTCTCAGAGTCAGCCACAGTTTATTATGATCCACACAGTCAAACGCCTTTGCATAATCAATGAAACACAGATACACATTCTTCTGGTATTCCCTACTTTCAGCTGAGATCCATTTAACATTGGCAACAATATCCCTAGTACCACGACCCCTTCTAAACCCAGCCTGGACTTCCGGCAGTTCTCTGCTGATGTGCTGTTCCAGACGTTTTTGGATAATCTTCAGTAGAATCTTGCTTGCATGTGAAATCAATGATATTGTTCTGTAGTTTCTACACTCTGTTGGGTCACCTTTCTTTGGGATGGGAACAAATATAGATCTCTTCCAGCCAGTTGGCCAAGTGGTTGTTCTCCAGATTTCTTGGCACAACTTGGTGAGCACATCCAGGGCAACATCTGTTATCTGAAATACCTCAACTGGTATACCATCTATTCCTGGGGCTTTATTATTTACTATTTCCTTCAAAGCGGCTTGAACTTCTTCTTTCATCACCATAGGCTCTTGCTCATATGTTATTTCATTAAATTCTTCTGTGTCTGCCAATTCTTTTGGATACAATGACTCAGTATATTCCTTCCATCTTTTTTTAATACCTCCTGGATCATTTAACATTTTGCCTAAAGCATCCTTGATTATAGCAACTCGAGGTTTGAATTTGTTCTTCAGTTCCTTGAGCTTAAGAAATGCTGAGCGAGTTTGGCCCTTTTGATTTTCTGACTCTAGTTCCTCGCACATTTCATTGTAGTATTTTGCTTTGTCATTCCGAGCAGCCTTTTGGAATCTTCTGTTCAGCTCTTTAGTATCTTGAATTCTTCCTTGTGCTTTGGCTTCTCTACACTCCAGTGCAATCTTCAGAGTTTCTTCTGACATCCATTTTGGTCTTCTCTTCCTCTTCTGTCTTTGTAATGACCGTTTGCACTCTTCCTGGATGATACATTTGACATCCTCCCACAACTCATCTGGTCTTTGCTCATTAGTGTTCAAGGCCTCAAACTTGTTCCTGAGATGATCCTACCTGAAATAATTTCTAAGTCGGGCCTTTAAAATATCTCATAATGATAGAGGCCACCTAATTCTGGCCTTTATCATCTCATTCTTCTGCTCTAAGGTCTACCTGGAAGCTGAGTTTCTGAAATCCATGGCATCAACTTTAATTGTCTCATCCTAACACTCAGACTTTGCATAATATTGTGCAACAATCTCAAAGCCCAACCACCACCGTTCTAACCTGTCAAGAAAACGCACATGTTAGCTGCCGTCTAGTCAGCCCTCAACTCATGACATCTTGTGATAGGGCAGAAATGCTCCAGAGTTTTCTTGGGTATCATCTTTACATTACAGAAGGATGGGCAATCTCCTCTTGTTCCATTAACTGACTCTGAAAATCCACTGGAGGGTCGGTTACGGGTTGGTTCAAATTCAACGGTACACAACAACAATCTTTACAGAAGCAAATCGCCTGGCCTCTCCTCTGTGCAGCCTTTTGGACTATCAAGTTTTAGTAAATGAACCCAGGCTGCCTGAAAGAGTTTGTACTAGATATTTTATAACTATGATGCTTTCTGTTTCTAAATCGCATCCATGGAGAACTTTTGATCCTTACACAAATCCTGCAAAGGAGACATAGAACACAGGCTCTCAAGAATTTTATGATTTGCGCAAAGTCACTAAAGAGAGGAAAAGTAGTAACTGGTGTAAACTGTGTGCTTACATACAGGTATAACCATTTTCTAAGGGTGGCATTATCACCGTCATTTTTAAAAATTGTACAATACAGAGGTCTAAAACCCCAAGCTGCTCAAGGTTATATAACAACTGACTCACATGATAGATTAAAATCTAAATTACTGAGCTTAAACTCACTCTTAAACATTACTTAGAAAGTGCCTGGCACAGTCTTGGAACATATTTAGCTTTAAAAAATATGTATGACTGATACCTATCCTGACCACAATCAATGCCCCCAAACCCAGTGAGGAACAAACCTGCTAGTGATCTCTGCCTCAACAGTAACAGATGCTACTAATACATTCCAAACAAATGAAATGTCTTTACTGCCCCCATACAAAATGTTTTCTTCCAAATTCATTATTTGCATTTTGTCTAAACATCATTTAATGTACTATTTTTGGAGTTCTGATGGCCTAGTGGCAGGAAGCTGCACTGCAATCACAAAGGCACACAGTTTGAATCCACCATCTGCTCCAGAAGATAGGCAGTCTCCTTCCGTGTATTTTACTGTCTCTTAAAATCTGCTAGAGTCAGTTTCGTCTTTTAAGCACACAACATAATAAGTAGGCAACAAAGAGAAAAGCAGCCCCTCACAGTAAGAGGGTAACTAATACACACTATGTGATATTTTCCTGCTAAAAAAAAGGAATAATATAAAAAATATCACAGCTCATCAACATCAGATTAAGTACTGTGTGACCACAGCTTAAGTGAGGCAAACCTAAGCCACTCTGGAATCACTGTAAGCACAGAATTAAATAAAACAACTCAGGTCTCTGGGTAAACTATTAAAAAAAAAATCCCATCTAGCAGAAGTGACTCCAGGAGGAAGATTCATCAACAACTTGTGTTATGCAGATGACAAAGCCCTGCTTGCAGAAAGTGATGAGGCTTTGGAACACTTGTAGAAGATCAGACTATGGTCTTCAATATGGATTACATCTCAACATAAAAAAACAAAAACCTTCACCACTGGATCGACAGGAAACATGATAGATGGAGAAAAGACTGAGGTGTTCAAGGATTTGCTTTTATTTAGATACACAATCAACACTCATGGCACAGCAGTCTTGCTGTTAAGACTTCTTTAAAGGACCAATTTCAAGACTAGGGTACGACTGATGTAAGCTAGGATATTTTCAGTGGCTTTCTATGCAATTGAGAATTGAACAATGAAGAAGAAAAGAACCACCGATGCCTTTGAATTGTGGTGTTGGTGAAGAGTATTGAGTATCAGATAATGCCTCTCACTGAGGGACTTCACCCTTCACTGACCCTCTCATTTTCCTGGTATTGTGTATTCTTCCTCAGACTGGTGGCTCTGACAATACCAAGTAT